TACATGAACAACATTATAAGACTAAAGTGACTATACACAACTGTGTCACACATGCCCCACAAGCATGAAAACGGAGACATTTTAGGTGTAGAACAGAGTACTACATAATGGTTGTGTTATTTTACAGGAAACATTACCAAAGTAACAGCGTTCAGAGACTGCTCTTATAGAATAAAGCTGTAATTTTATTATAGAGAAAATTTCTATATTTGCATCTGGGGGAAGAATTCTGCCATATATGAAAGAACTGTGATGATTTTCCAAGCCATTGTGCAATCTGTCTCCATGATATCATGCTTCCAGTGTCATGCACAATACATTCTATATCCGTCATCAAAGCCAGTCTCAACTGCCGTCTGACACTGGCTTCATCAAGATAAAAACAAAAATCGGTAATAAAGGTATCATTGCTCCAAAGGCACAGTATGATTGCTTCATATATTTACATAAATGGTTCCTACCCTGTTAGCACATTCCGAATCAATGTCCACAGTGTTTATTCTAAAGTGAAATTTTAGTCTCCTCCTTACTCCTTTGTTTATGAATATCTGTGTTTCTGACAACTGACAAAGGGCATGCTGAAGACTTACAGCATTCACAGTTGGCTATGTGCTGCAGTCGGATTTTCCCCACATAGCTTTATTCAGTGTGCCTTAGCTCTGGAGAAAATGGCCAGATATTGCAGACACAGTGGTAGCTGAACTCCTCAGCAAGGACAGCCATTCCTACCCTAACTCTGGGGTCTTGTCTTTTTTCTTTTTTAGATGAATTTAGTGCATGTGAAAGTTCTAGACGGACAGTCATGGAGGCTGAAGTCCTCCATTCACCCACAGAACTGGATATTCCAGCGCTAGCTCCACCAGTGCTCCCCAGCCTCGAAGAAGAGTGTCCAGTTTCCATGTCCATTCAATACTTGACATTTATGTTCAGACTACCAATAATGGTTCCAGTTGTGGTGCTGTTTTTTTAACATGGACTCCAGTCTGCTGACATCATCAGTTCCTTCTGCATAGTCCAACTGACAGCCATCACATTGTAACAACTTCTGGTTACTGCTGATCTGGGTTGTATGTGTATTGGGGATGACCTAGAAGTGAAAGCTACCCATATCCCCATAACAGCCTCCAGAGTTATCCTGACCACTTTATTATTATTTTTTGAAAATAATCCTTGATAGGGATGATGTTGAGATCACCAAAATCTCTTCACTTGGGAACACAATTTGGAATATTTATATCTATCTAGTTCAACAAAATACAGCATGAAACACAAAATTTGGAATATTAAGATATTACAAGTTATAGCTAAACTAAAATATGAAACCCTTTTCAAGGCATTTCATAACATAGTTGTATATAAATCAGAAACACTGGACCAAATTCTGTTCTCAGTTAAACTAATACCAATTGGAAATAAATAAAGGAAATTGGTATTGTAATGCTGTTCATGTAATGCCTATGATGAAATATCTGATCTATCAGCTCTAAGGACCACATTCCATGAACAGAGCACTCAAATGTTCACAGCATGAATAGCACATGCACATCTGCTCTGGTTCTCTTGTTGCTCTGTCATATAGGACCTGTTTGTGATCTCACGTATCAATACCAGTGGAATTCCATTGACCTGAATGGAGCTTTTTCTCATTTACATTGACCTCTCTGGCTTCAAGATTAGGCTAGATAAGTTTATAGAGGGAATGGTTTGATGGGATAACGTGATTTTAGTCAATTAGGCAATAACGGCCATCGCTGGTAAAATGAGGGTCTGGCTAGAGAATCTTGCCTGTATGCTCGGGGTTCTGCTGATCGCCATATTTGGGGTCGGGAAGGAATTTTCCTCCAGGGTAGATTGGCAGAGGCCTTGGAGGTTTTTCGCCTTCCTCCGCAGCATAGGGCAGGGGTCACAAGCTGGAAGATTCTCTGCAACTTGAAGTCTTTAGATCACGATCTGGAGACTTCAACAGCAGAGTTAAGGGAAAGTGGGGGGGGGTCAGCTTTTGTGGCCTGCATCATGCGGGAGGTCAGACTAGATGATCATATTGGTCCCTTCTGACCTTAAAGTCTATGAGTCTATGAGTCTATGTAACTCAGAGAAAACTCAAGTCCAGAGACTCCCATTTGTGCAAGTTTAATTTCTATTTCCTTTAATAGGACTTACTCTTGCACACTGAAGACTGAATACTTAAGATGAAAAAAATCCCTGGATCCAAATATTTCCTGAACTTTGAAAAACTTTGTATCCAGATCCTAATTTTATGTTTTGGGACCATCATCAATGAATATGCACGAAAATTTCCCACTCCTTTAACAGTAATGTGAGCCTGGGGTTGGTTCAGGGAGTTAATGCTCTGCTTTCATCTTTGGAAATGTGGACTCAGATCCTCATGAAATGTAGAAAACAACATCAAATTCTCTCTCACACACATACAGTGCAAACTACACATTTACATTTAAAATACCTACGCATGGTTGTTCAATATTATGTTGTCACACTTTAAAAAAATCCTCCTTGACAACAAAGGGGAAATAAATACACAGTTGATAATCCCACAGGTAAGAACTCTACAGGTAGGAATGCTTGACCATATCTAGGCTTACATACTTATAAATATGCTTGGGTATGCATCATGTTCTTTAGTAAATTCAAACTCTTAGCAAATAAGATTCTTGTTCTTTTCCTTTAGTCTGATGGATGTATCACATAGAGCCAATAAACCATAGTATCAGACAGAGACACTTGTTGCTTGTTTAGACATATGATCTGACAAAAGGTAGGGGAAATTTAAAAAAAAAAAAAAAACTCCTAACAAAAACCCTAAAGAGAACAAAAGAAATATGCCAAGAGAAAATGTGACACACATCCTTTATACATGTTTAATTTCTGTTGTTTTGGTTGGAAAACAGCTGCAGGTGTCCTCTAATTATATCACCATTTTCACAAATATCAACTGTCATATTTAATTTGTTACATTTACCATACAGCCTCCTCCAACAGAACACTTCTTTCATTACGCATTTAGTGCCAGAGTTTCTAACATTCAAGCTAACTTTCAAGCTAATCAATTAATGCATTATTTACAAGTTAAATGTTATTAAAAACAGATTCTTAATTTCCTAATGATTCAGTAGACCCCAGGCAATATTCCAATTTGTTTTTCTTGAAAATGGAATAACACTTAGAACAAGGGGGAAAATAATGTCAAGGATACTTTGGCCTACTCATCTGTGCTGTAGTTTCTGCTGTGGTTTTTCTACCTCCTAATTCCCCCTCCTCTTTTTTTTATATTGTATTTTGAACACATCAGCTAACCAGTTGCAGAATGATTGAGAGGAAAGGTCTATGAAAAATGAAAAAACAGCACAAACACTATTGTGAGTTTTGTTTTTAAAAAGCACCAGGCAGTCTGGAATGATTCAATACACATGTTCACCATACAATACAGCACATTTTGATTTACAGCACCATTCTAGCATTACAGCAGGTTAAGAAGGTTAGAAGTCAAGGGAAATTAAATGTTATTAGCATTCTACTGTTGTTGTGGTGCACAATGTGAGTACATACCTTTTCAAATGCACTTTTAAACTCACATTTGTTTCTAAAGCTTTTATCTCATCAGAAACTTTCACGAGCACTTGTGTATAGTTAGCCTTTTCTATTTTTGTGCGGCTTTTCCTCTCATATATATGCTTGTTCAGATGCTTCATTAAAGACTAATTCCCTTCCTATTCCCTCTCCTTCACCCTCAGACTGCAATCACCTACAATATGGTGGTTGCCATTAAAATCAGAATTACCATTTGAAGGTAATTATTGTTAGGACACTTAATATACCTGTAATTCCATGGTAATGCTAATTAGTTTCAAACATTAAATGTCAACATTTTAATGACGACCATTGTGGCTTCAAGATAATTGTGTCAGTGTGTTTGTTTTAAATTGGGGGAAAAGTGAAATCCAAGCAGGAATTCATGATCATATGCATTTTCTGCCATAGCATGGTTTTTAAATTATAGGTGTACCTGACTCACAAATTTTGGGTCTGGCACTGAACATGAATTTTGGGTGGGTTAATGTTTGGATTCAATGTTCTGGTTTAGCCTATGTTACAAAGTTCAGAACCAGATATGGACAAAAATATGGATCCAAACTTTGTGTTTGTCAGTGCGTGCATTGGGAAGGTGGACGGAGGTACAGAGGGTGAGATGTGAAGTTCTGGTTTAGGGCCATGGCTGTTGATGGGTCATTTCAAAGAGGTGGCCAATATCAGGATTTAAATTCCTGTGGGCCTCAGATACTCAAGGCGAGTTCCCTGGACAGCTAGATGTTTCATGCTGTACCACATAAGGGATAAAAGTCTACTACTGCTAACAGCTAACAGTGTTACTCCCTTAGCTTAGGTGGTGGAGGTGGAACTAAAGGTCCGGGTTCTATCCCTGCTGAAGAGCTGCTGTGGAGGATCATTATAAAAGCATCCATCAGAAAGTTTCAGACTTTGAAACTAAGTTTGTGTTTATTCAACTTTACAATCACTTCTCTGTACTATCTGTATTTCACATACCAAGAAACTGCATTACCCTATGCAATTGAATTAGTTGTACCATGACTCAAAGGCATTAAACAATGACTTTGATATTTTAAGTACTGACTAAGAGGAATTTTTAATTCCTTCCTCATAATGAAACAAACAAACAAAAAAAACCCCTCAGTTACACAACCTTGAAACATTTATTCATTCTCTATTCTGGGTGGACCTCACTGAGACAGAAAAAAAGCATTTAGTTTGCTTAACGGCAGAATTAAAATTAAACAAGTATAGACATGCAACCTTAATGACACCCAGCAATGCTAGAGTAACAATTTGTTGCTTCTAAAACTTGTTATTTAACATAAGGGGAAAATCTATTGGGAACTTTTCAGCTGCTGCTGAGCCTAACACCCGCTCCCCCTGCTTTTTTGCAAGGGAGGGAAGGAGAGAAGGGGGAAGGGACTTGTACTCACTTAATCAGAAGAGTCTCTGCGAGAACTCCAAAGCACACAGCTGCTGCATGGAATACAGCACTGGGTGGAGGGTCCTTAAAAGCTACCATCATTCGATAGACTGCAAGGGGAATGATAGTCATTACTGCCAGGACCAAGCAGAAGAAGAGCCAATTCTGCCAGTGACAAAACAGGATTCTCCACACTGATCCTTTCTGTAGCTGGTACTGGGGAAAAAAAGAAAAAACAGGTGGATTAATGCTGTGAAACTATGAGCATTAACTGCTAATGGCACAGGGTAGAGCACCTAAGTGATGATTCACATCTGACAATAAATATATGAATAGCTGTTGAAAGCTTGTTTGATTTTCACAAAGGGGATTAAACAAACATTCATTTGTTCATTAGTTTTGAGCAACACTTTTATGGCAGTAGATGTATTAAACCTTAACATATGTCTGCAACCAAGACATTTGGGGTTTTTAAAGATTAAGACACAAAGCGATGCATACTGTTTATACAGAATGGCCTCGAACTACCTGTAATGGAGTGAGATATGGTTATTATACATTAACGCTGCGAATCTTCATCCTGTTGTAGGCTAGTAGGGATGCCATGTCTTCAAAGATAAAGACGTAAAGGGCCCAATTCTGCACCTCCTGGTGCGCCTGCATAAACGTATTTTCCTTGAATAATTTAAAAAAGCAAGCAGTTTAAATCTGCTTCCTGAGTTAAATTATACTGAACTGATATCCTCCTCCCATTATAAAGTCACTGCATGTTGCAATCTGCACTGCGGGGTGAAGGAGTAGAGGATAGCTCCAATTCATGACTTCTTCAGGACAGTTCCCAAAAGTGATGGCTCGGTCCAGCATGCTGCCAGACTAAAAAACAAAACAAACCCAGATGGAACTGTGATAAGAAAAATCTCATCTGCATCATGAGTTGACAGTGTCATGTTATGTCAGTTTTGTGCACTACAGTGTTGCAGTGACATGAGATCACAGCGCTGACCCATGACCGAAGCACATAGCATGACTTGGGAAGGGATGTGTGTGTGTGTGCATGCACGTGCAATGCTGGCCCTCAGACATTTTTGTGCTCTCCTGGTCCTGGGACAGCTGCATGGTAGGCCAGTCTCCTGGAGTAAATTACAGCCATCTGTAGGCTGCTCTACATTATACCAGCAGCCATTAGCTCCAAGGGACTCTCATGGCACCTGGGGATCAGGAAGTCCCAGGCTACTCAGGTCTTGACCCTTCTGTTGGCTGCAGGAGGGGTACAGCTCAGAACTCATTAAATAGCTTTATGCCACTGGAAGATCCCCTTAAGCAGACTGGAGCCTCCTGTGGCTGGTTACATTGGCTTTAGGGCCACTTTGCAACACTGGTGCAGTGTAAAGCAGCCCTAGCCCAAAGAAGAACCTGTGTCCATGTTCTTCTGATCTGCAGGGCAAGACTGGAAGGTAATAAATGGAAAGAAACTGAAGACCTCAGCTGGTGTAAATCACTGTAGCATCACTGAATTCAATATGCCCATTCTGGATTACACTAGCCCAGAGAGATTTAACCTGACTCAAGTGAACAAGCTACACTGTGTCTCTTATCCCAGAGTGCAGTTGTTTTGTGGGAAGTGCTGCATGGTATAAAGTTGGATATGACTGGGTCAGTGCAAACATAATCACAGACCTCCGGTCTCCCATTTATGTGCCTCTGGGTCTTCACCTCATCTCACCAAGCGATAACATAACAGGTTACGACGTGCAAAGCAAAAAGCTCATGTTGTTAGCTTCCTGAACTTGGAAAAAAATGAATTCCTAAAATTATTGTAAGCACAACACACTCGACATCATATGCCACTGAAATGGATGGAAGATGGCATCTGAATATTATTATTAATTTAATAACATACTCGCCTGGTTATTATAATAACCCTACGCATGGATTTTTGCATTACGATCAATGAGGGCTGTACATTTACTTGACTTATTATAATTCATCTTACTATTCAGACATACAGTGGTAACACTGGTGAACAGCATTGTTTTTGGGAGATAACCATCAGCATCTTGTGATATCCCTATTCATCTGTTGTAATGTTTAGAAGTGGGGCTCTTAACTGTGGCCATTGGACCCTGACAGCACTCTATATTTCTCTCTGGCTCTTCAGCGCCAAAACCAATTAAAGACAGACTGTGCTACCTATTGTCACCACACAGGGTCTTAAATCCTGGCCTGGATTAAGTAGTCAGGGAAGGGACTGCTGACTACATTACACAGCTTGCTGATACATTGCATGGAGATTACAAAAGGGCAACATGGCTTCTTGTGAAATATTGCAAGAAATCTCATGGGATAATAATTTATTATTTGTATACGGGAACTTCTCAATGGTCTCAGTGAAGATTGCAGCCACTCCATGCAACGTGCTGTACAAATGCATAATAAGACAATGACCCTGAAGAGCTTACAATTTTCAGACAATCATTGTGAAATGTCCTCCAAGGGGACATAACTTAACAAGGACCATCTTTACTATGTTACCCTTTTAGTTTGTGATTGCAGGTTCTTCTGGGAATTTCCTTATATTGCCTCTCTCAGTGATGCTTTGACTTGGCTGTAGATTAAGCAGTTATGTAAAATACGCACAGAGAATTGTACACAGCCCATAGAAGAAGAAAAGTAAAAGATCTCCCTTTTCCGTATTTGAACTGGATTGTAAATGCACAAGTCTCAGAGAGGCAAGCCAGTCTGGGAAGAGTAAAACCTCTGCCCATTCCAGAAATATGAGAACTTCTCGAACACCACTTTCTTGCTTCTCTCTGGCTCCTACTGCATTCATCTACCTCCCTCCCACAACCTCCAGAAACTGCCTGGCTACATCCCTGCCCAGGACCCTCCAACTGAGTCTAATTTGCTCTAGAGATGGGCCCAAACTAAACCCTGGAGCTGACTACCCCTGAATTTCAAGAAAGTTGGATCTGGATCCAAATGCTGTGACTTGAGCAAGTTCTACTTTCCCCTTCCGAACATAACAATATGCTCCAGCTACAAAACTCCTTCCTCTCCATTCCATGAATGGACAATAAAGTTCCCCTACCTTTGATGATCCTATTGCAGGACCCAGAAGCTTTGGCACCATGTCTTCAGGCATCTGGATGCTAGTCAGTTCAAACCATTTGCACTGTGGGGCATGAATCCTACACAATGGTGCAAAGTCTCAAAGCATAAGGAACTTTAATTGACTGCTAGGTGCACCTGGCAGGTCAGTTGACAGTCCTGCAACTTATTTCTAAAGGCAGAGGGGCACTATTGGAGTGTTGTGAGCTAGGAGGAATTCAAGTGGCCCAGCAGAGGGCTGCAAAGAGAGAAGGCTTGTGCATCAGGAGGATGGAAGCTAGATTTTACTGGATGGTCATAAGAAAGGAGGAGGGAACAGGGACCTGTTGGAGGGTGGTTAGATGTGAGAGGTAGGGTTATTATTGGAGTCTCAAGGAGGTAAAGGAAAAGAGAATTAGAAAGTTCAGATGTGTTTTGGTAAGTTCTCAAACTCTTGTATGCTTTGTTGAACAAGATATGACCCAACCCATAGAGATCAGCTGAGGATATAAAATTCCCCAAAGTTCAAGGGTGTTCATGTATGGGTTTTACTTCACTGCTATCTCTTTTCTGAACCAAGTCAGGTTCACCCATATCTAAAGAAAGTCCATGCTAGAAGCTGATTCACAAATACACATGATGAAAGCTGAAATGGCAATACTCAGTACACAGTCAGATGAGGATGCAGGCATGTCTGTGCAAAAGAACAGAATAGGGCCTAAAGTTTTTAGCAAACTTGACTCTTGTAAAGGATTGTGGGGGCTAAGCTAGGAGAAGGACATCTATTGTGCCAAGTTAACTTCACTACACCCACTTGCCTGTCATTTTTGTTGAAACTCAAGAGAAGGGACTGACTGAAGAGGGGACCTCGAGCATCCAGACACGTAATGGATTCCTCTACTGAGCCATCACTCTTTTTTATTTTCACTTTTGATGCCATTTAGCATTTAAACAGGTAGCATTTGTGTGGAATCGGTTTCTCCAAACTCCATATTTTATACTTAGAGTATCAAAAAAGTTATTTCAAGGGCTGTGTTGCTATGTGATTGCAAAAACTGCATTGCAGGAAGAAAGGTCACCAATAAGAGCTTTTGGAAAATAGAAAACATTTAGCTATTGTGAGATTATTTTTCGGTGTCATTGTTTAGAAGCACCTGAAATGACTGTAGCTTATCTCTGCACGTTTGATAGGCAGTGTGACTCACACTGTGATTACGTGAAAATACCAGAGAGGGAAATAGACATAGCCCATAGTTAGGATTCAATATGGGTCACAAGAAATAATCAGTGTTTACGGCACATTTAACCTGGGTGCGGTAAATTTGTTCAGATTTTATTTAAGAGTAAATTTCCAGTGGGGAGTGTGTGGTAGCAAGGACAGGACTACTATACCGAATGCCAACGGACTTTTGCTCAGACTAACAGTCCGGGAGCTCACAAAACAAGAATCATTTCTTGCCATAATTAAACTGTGAAGCGTATTTGCTTAAAAAAAAGTTTTAATTACAATTGGCGTTTCCGATCCTAGTGCTGGAGGCAGTTGTCTTGCTGAAAATTGATGCCATTCGTGGCACTGACAATAGGCAAACCCTGTGGAAAAGCCTGTAAACAAGCTTCTAGCCTTTAACCATTGGAGAAAGCATTTTTGTTGTTACACTATTATTAAAACAGGTTGGAAATGGATCCACATACTCTTCTATTGAGCTGACAATTATCATACTGTTGATATCACAAACCATATCATTTTTCAGCAACATGGCCTCCTCCAGCACTAGACTCACAAATGTCAGTTGTAACTGAAAGCTGGTTTAGCAACCACACCCTCAACATTTGATAGTTTGTTTCTGGTGAAAAACAATTCTTATCTTGAGAACAATGGAAACCGCTGGGCTGAGCAAAAGAAGTGCAGCTGACGGCCAGCTCCTGGAGGTACTGAGCATCCTCAGCTCCTCCAACAGTCATGTGCATTCTCCACCTCACAGCATTAGGCCCCATTTGAATACAAGAGTAGTAGACCTTCACTCCATACTGTGCAGTAAAGAACTAGTATCTGGGTTGGGTTGGCCAGGACCTATATCCGAGTGCCAATTCCAAAAGAGCACAGAAGAATCACTTTTCCCAAACCATAT